GGAATCTTGCTCACAGCCATCCCTGGGTGGACTTGAATCACCAACCTTCTGGTAAATAGGCAGATAAACTGACCCACTGCTGAAGGGACCCCTCACTGTAGATCTTTCTGTTAAAGGAACATAGGATGCTGCCCTCTAGTAAGTCGTATCATTGGTATATCTAGCTCACTATTGTTAACACTGACTGGCAACAGATACACAGGGTCTCAGTTTTTCTCAGCCCTATCTGGAGACACTTGGCATTTCGGCTAGGACCTTTTGCATGCAAATTCGAATGCCCATGATGGGGTGAGCTCCCGTTGTTCTGTCCCAGTTCCTGCCCACCTAGCAGTTTGAAAGCACGTCAAAGTGCAAGTAGATAAATAGGTACCACTCCAGCGGGAAGGTAAACGGCATTTCCATGCACTGCTCTTGTTCTCCAGAAGCGGCTTAGTCAAACGCCGGCTCCCTCGGCCAGTAAAGCGAGATGAGTGTCACAACCCCAGAGTCATTTGCGACTGGACCTAACGGTCAGGGGTCCCTTTACCTTTTAGACATGAAGGATTGTGCTGTTGGATTTTGGTCCTTCAGAAGCAGAGTAATTTTTTATTTCATTGCATTTCTCTAAATTAAATCAGGATATAGAAACATTGCACATTCATTCTACAGAAGATAGAAACTGCAGAGACCTGGATGAAGTGCAACTTTTACAGAGGCTACATGACTTTTTAAAACATAATGACACCTGGTGATCAAAAGGATTTCAGTCTCATCAGGCAGAGGCTATTTTTAGTTAACAGCACCGAGAAGTCAAGTTATGAAAGTCTGTGGTTATGAAATATCAACTTCCTGGAGTTATGAAAGGTATATTAGAGCACGGTTCAACAGCTAGGAACCACCTGTCATTCACAGTAAACTAAACTAAGGAGTTGGAGGGACTGGGATAAAAATACAGCTCTGTTATTATCACTGTTCCATTGAGCTATGGTTCTTTCGCCAGAATCCTTTTGAAATTCTTAATCCTTATTTACAGCAAGAATTGGAAACGTGGAAGTTACTGGACTCCCAGCTCCCATCATCCAGGACCACTGGCCATAATGGCTGGGGCTGATGGGAGTCCAGGGACATCTGGAGTAACACTGTTTCCCTCCCCTGGGACATTTTAATATACTTTCAATATAACTTTGCAGCATGTAATTTCAAGAACTAAGGCTTATATTTGCACAGGTATTCACTGTTGTTCAGTGAAACCAGGATGCTCTTAAATAATAAAACTGGCAATTATTGGTTATTTATTTATTTATATACCACCATCAATGTAGATGGCCGTGTACATAATTAAAATAAATTCAAACCCAGAGTGTACAATCCAGTTCAGTGCTAAGTGTTTGTATAGCTGCAATGCTTAAGTGTCCACAGTATCTTTATAAGGGAAGATGTTGGGGAGAAAAAAATGGGAGCAACTGGCTACACCCCTCTGAACTGATTGGCCATGCCCCCATGACTTCCTCGCAGCCCTTACCAGTCTAGTAGACATGGTGGCAAGTAGCGGGTTTGGCGTGCACACACACACACAATTAAAACATAATGCAAATGAGATGCATATTTTTTCAAAAAAGAAAAGAAAAATAAATATAGGATTGTTAACAGTCTCAGCTTTATTGCTACATACAGGCTCCCTGTTCTATCTGCTCTGTTGTGCAAGTCAGGAGGTAAAGGTAAAGGACCCCTGACAGTTAAGTCCAGTTGCGAACAACTCTGGGGCTCATCTCGCTTTACTGGCCAAGGGAGCAAACGTTTGTCCACAGACAGGTTTTCCGGGTCATGTGGCCAGCATGACTAAGCCGCTTATGGCGAAACCAGAGCAGTGCATGGAAACGCCAGTCAGGAGGTAGAAAGCCCAATTGAATTCAATAGCACTTACTTCTGAGCAGGCATGTTCAGGACTGCACTGTAACCCCCCCCCCTTTTTTTGTATGTTGGTACTTTGAAAATAAAACTGCCAATAGTAGTTTTAAAGAGTCCCCAAACTGTCTGTGATTCATCATATCATAATGAATCAATATTTGCATTATTATTCAGAAGCTGATCCTGCCACTCTGCACTATGAATAAAGTGGAAGCAGTTTTCTACAAACCAGCCTTCATGTTCCAGTGAGTAAGGTTTCATTATGCATAATTCCGGCTCCACACAGAATGTCTCCAAAGCATGCCCTAGCAAGAAAAATCAGGGTGGAAAAATATGTTAGCTGCAGCTGGAACATAAAGCTGAATACCAAATGAATATGTGGGAAATGTGCTGGAAAATAATGCTCATATCACTGATAACCAAACAACAACAGATATTTTTAAAAGCCAGAAGAGTGTTAAATTAAATTTGTATATTTCACATTTGCAAAATTTTTTATAAAGTGTGTTTGGAATTATAGTCCATGTTCCAATATTTAATTAAACTTTTACTAGATATTGCATACAGACAGAGAGAAAGAGTGACACACACATGCACACACACACACGCGCGTGCACACACACACGGTTGCATTACAATACTATCCAGGATGATTTTCATAAAATCCATCATCTTTTAAATAATATTACTTAAATTCCTCCCCTACTGCTATATTCTTTCAAAAGACTACTACTGTGATCATAGCATGTGCCACTGTACTTAAAAACTGATTATAAAGCCTTCACAGGGTACAGTTTGTGGAGGCTCCTGAATCTTGGGATACCATTACACTAGTGTTTTAGGATCTACATTCTGGTTTCCATTCACACCTGTGTTCTACCGTGCCTTTCATGTAGTAGGTATGATCAAGTTACAATATACTTTGGTTAATAGAACCCTGTAACTCAGGGATCACTACTTTTTGGGCCAGTGAGCACATTTCAAATTTTAAGAGTGCTGTGGGCACCGGTTAAAAAAATGACTGCTATGTGGGGCATAGCATAACACAAAATTAAGAGAGAGCACAGTCTTGGTGAAAATTTTCCCATAATTGTATTTCCACAATAGAAAATCCTATCCTGATAACTATCTGGCTGTCATACAGCTGTTACTGGCACAAGAACCCTTCCCCCCTAAAGCAAAGCCTAAGCTGCCATCCTAACAGAATGCAAAGAGACTTACTTCTGAGTAGACATGTATGCCACTGTACTACCCATTAACTGTACAGTGAATTCTTAATGAGTGTCTGACCTTTAGTTCCTGCACAGGAAACATGCCAAAGCCTATTTGCAGAATTTTGCAGGAGGGGGTTCTTTAACATTCTGTAGTAGCATTTGCAGAAAATAACAAGTATTATCTGATCTTGGACGAACCCACCACAGGGAGGAAAATATAATATCAGGGCTTAGTCCGGTCAGACTGTCCCCTCCCCACCCATAAGGCCAATCGTCATAATTCCTGGGAATCTCAGACAGATGAGACACCCATTTACTAGAAGTTGCTCCCAGTACCAGTCACCACACGGACGGCTTGTAGGTTGTAGGCAGATATGGATATACACAGATATATAAAAGTACAAAGTATCTCTGTTGCTCTAAATAAGTTCAGCAATTCAATATGTTACACTTGACAAGTAACACTGACTGGCTAATTGATTAATGGACACTACTGAGTTGACATGCATCTATCACAGTTATAGTAGGGGCACTGGGCCATTACCATAGCAGCTGGCTTGGCTGGCCATGCGCCTGCGATTAGCTAATCCATGGAGTGATTTACACTTTTGAAGTACGGTAAATGAAGCCCTTCTCATGTCCAGTTACTCCAACAGTAATCTACCCTGTGAGAAGGAAGAAGAGAGTGGCCAAGGCAAGTTAAGACAACACTAAGACCTTCTCCAGTCAGACTTCCCTCTCCCCACCTAGGGCTAACTTTACATATAATATATTTTAGTATTTTAAAATTATAAACTGCTTGGAGGGACTTGACAGAAAGGTGATATATAAATGCAACAAATAGGTATTTTGAAAAACTGTGAGCATATTTTAAGCATTATGCAATGTGTGTGTGTGTGTGTGTAGCATTTTATTGACCACAGATATGAGATTATATTGCTTAAAAGTTTTTTTAAGCTGCATAGTGATACAATAAATACAAATGTGTGTATTATTTTCTAAGTTTGTATACTAAAACTGTAAACTCCCACAAAACTTTCACAGCCTGGAAATATAAGGTGCAGATTAAGATGCTACATTCTCATAGTTTAGGAGCAAATGTAATGTTAGGCTAGGAACTGACCACATCATTGGTTCATATTTCCCGGTTCTGATCTATTTAGATAACATATCCAATTTCTGCAGCCAAATGCGCCTAACAGGTACATGAAGAACCTGATCCTTTGTGCATTTATGTACATCTGTTTTTAAACCTACAAAATGTACATCCTTGAGAAAGTGAGTAGGAGGCATAGGAATGGGGTGGAGATGAAAGCAGAGGTATTAAAAGTTCTGCAGAACAGGAGGAAATTGTGGCTTCCTAACTGGGTGTAGGGCTGGCCCACCCATAAGGCAAGGATGTAGATCTTAACTCACTGCTTGCTCCTAGATGTTCACTCACTCCTCCTTCCCTGGAGACGAGGGAGCACCATTTTGTGGTCACCTCAGAACGGCGCAATTGTGTCTTGGTCCAGCCCTGACTGGGCGGAAGGTGAAAAGTATGTTAACAGATGCAATGCGTGGGAAGAGCAAGATGTAGGAGCTTTCCGTGGGGGTGGTTCGTGTGCAGGAGAGGGGAGGCATGGATATTTCTACAGAAATGCGGTTGGCAAGCTCCATAATTACATGGGGTAGGAAAGGGGCATTTCTCGGGGGTTAAAGTGAGGGGAAACAGCGCCGGGGGTTGGCAAGCTGAACGACCCTGTATGGCAACAATGACAAAGTGCTCTGCAGTCAGAAGCAACTTCAGAGAGGAAGAGGTGAGGAAGAGACCAGATCTTAAACTGAGGCGGGCGGCTGCCTGAAAGAAGCGAGGGACTTCCTGTCAGCCACATCCTATTCCTCACACACAAAAACACACACACACCCGAGCCCATGATTCGTCCTCTGCTCAAGGGCCCAGCCTTTGCGGCTGCTGCCACAAGCAGTCTGAACGGCGTCCTAAATTTAGCAGCCAGCGAGCGGGCTTTGCGTGGCGAGGAGGCTGCCGCTCCTGGATGGGTGCAAAGCGCCGTCACTCTCGCCCAAGGAGGCGGCGCCTCTGAGCCGTCAGCGCCTCTCTCGCCTCCCCGAGCGAGGAAAGAGGACGCGGGAGCCAGACGGACGAGGAAAGTCGGAGCGGGGACGCAGCGGGGCAGCAGAAGTCCAGCAGCGAGCGGGAGGAGAAGCAGCAGCAGCAGCCCCAGCCAAGCGGCGGGGAAGTTGCACGAGCGACGCCTGAGCGAGCGCTGCGCCCCAGCCCCCTGCTCGCCCTCCCCGCGCGCTGGGGACCGAAGAGGGGAGGCCGCCTCACTTGGGCCCCGAGAAGGCGGAGGCGTCCTGGAAGGGAGGGGGGCAGCGGCTACCATGAAGGCCAGCGGGGAGCGGAAACGGGGCGAGGCGGCCGCCAGCCCGGGCGACCCCTGGAAGGAGTGCATGGAGGTGGCGATGCAGCTGGCGCTCCGGGCCGGACAGGTGAGCAGGCGCCACGTGGGGGGCTCTGGGGAAGCAGGGTTGCAAGGGGGAGGGGGCGGTGTTTCATTTCGCTGCTGCCCCTCCCCCGACCCTGCGGGTCTGTAAGCAAGAAGAAGCTCCAAACACGGGTTGACATGCCTCTCTGCCTCCTTTTGAGATTCGTGTGGGGCTTGAGAAATCGCTGCATCTCTCTCTCTCTCTCTCTCTCTCTCTCTCTCTCACACACACACACACACACACACACACACAATGTTACCTGCTGGGCAGCGAAGGGCCAGGTCTCCTGGTTGCGGACAGAGCTTCTGAGTACCGCAAGCCTTGTCAATTCTGGCTGGCCGGTCGAGTTTGTGCATGTTTGGCGGAGACGCGAGGTGCATTTAGTTGAATAGCTCCCTCTTACTCCCGAGCAAGTGCATAAGATTACACGTGGAGAAAAGAATGGGGAGATGCTGGTGAAAGAGAGAGAACTGGTGGACAGAAGTACTTTTTCCAGAAATGAACTCAGATGTGGGCTAACTGTGGATTAACAGTTTAGAGGGTAAATGGGGTTCAACTGAGCCAGGTCAAACAAAAGGGCAAAGGAAAGCTACCTTGCATCTCTGGACATTACAGAAATGGCTCTTCTTAACTACCTGGCCTAAAAGTAGCCCATGGTAAAATATCAAAGAAAACATTGTTGGAACACTTAGTTTTAAAAAAACCCCAACACATTAATTTGAGGTTGTTGAGTGGGTTTAAATGGGAGTAATCTGTATTGCATCATTGCTGTATCTGCATTAATGTGTTCAGTGTCAAGGATGTATCTTGTTAATATTCAACAAGAGTTTGGGTAAGAGTCTGTAGTCCTGATTTCACTAGGAATGCCTTGCTTTTCCATTGCCAACTTAAGATACCATTTAAGGAGTCACATTGTTAAGATGTGACCCCCTTTTTAAAGGGCAATGTATAGGTTGAAATAAAAATGTTGACACTTAATGAAATAAATACTGTTTCAGTTTCTAGCCAATAGCATTCCATTAACTGGTAGTTGAAAAGGTGTTTTGACATACAGGTAAGGTGAACTATGCATGATAAGAAATCCTAGTAAAATGACCCAGTAAGAACTACTGTACATCGATATGCAAAAATAGAGCAGTATTTGAAGGTAAGAATGATCCCATATATAATAATAAACAGGTTCTCTTTCCAGGCCAGATTGATTGTAATTTCTTTTCAATGTCAGAGTTCAGTCCTGAAATGTGAGGACTGTTCTCACAAGGACAGGACCCAACTTGCCTCAGTCAGCAATCTGGCCCCTAAATTCTGTACCAGCTGCAGTTACCAGGAGGAGTCATGGGGAAGGGCCATAGCTCTGTGGAAGAGCAGAAGATTCCATGTTTAGTCCCTGACATCCCCAGCTTGGGCTGAAAGAGATTCCTGTCTAAAATGGTGGACAACCACTGTCAGTATACACATTACTGAGCTAGATGGCCCCAGGCCTGTGTCAGTATAACACAGCTTCTTCTGAGTTGTCAAATTAAAGCAGAAGTAATAGGTAAATTGGGTAAGCATGCCCTGCTACCATAGGGTCGCATTCTGAAACCATTTTGAAGGAAAGGGACTTAATCCAAAAGCAATTCCTTTTGATTTCAGTTGAAACAAAAAAGTGTAAAAATACTATCTCGTTGAAGTCTCCCCTTCCTTCGTAAAATTTGGATGGCTATCAAGCTACTAAAGCAGAATTTGGTAGTCGTCAAGGGGAAGATATGCCCATTGTTCTCTGGAAACAATTGTGTGTGTTTAAGACCACATACAGATAGCCCTCCCTCTCACCCATCCTCTGCCTCTGAGTGATGAAACATCTTACCTGCTCTCTTCAGGATAATTTCACCATGGAAATCACTGTGAAACAATATGTAAAAATACATTTGTGCTTATAATAATTTAGAGAAAAACCTGTGGCTTCCAAGACAGCAAAGTTCTAAATGTTGAAAATGTAACCAAATGGATTTTTACATCCTGATTGTGTACATCAGCACAGACCAGTGTCTCTCAAATATTGGTGACATGTCACAGCAGTACCAATTTGAATTTATTTTTTTTTGTGATGGGAATAATTTTTATTTGATTTTACAAAACCCGTTTGATGTTTTTAAGCAATTCTATATGGGCATTACTGAACTTTTTTTGTCTTTTGCTTGTCGTTTTGAGTCAGTTGAGAGTTCTGTGGAGGGAAATGGTAAAGTAATTTCTGATTTAATTTTTCTAGATTATTAGCAAAGCTCTCACTGAGGAAAAACAGGTGTCTACCAAAACTTCTGCAGCAGATCTTGTGACAGAAACAGATCACTTTGTGGAAAACTTAATTGTTTCTGCTCTGAAAGAAAAATTTCCCTCTCACAGGTAGGTCCAGCTATGATATTATCCTAGGCAAGTTACGTATGTTTTGAACTGGAATTGAAAATGTCATTCTGTGAATAAGAAAGCTTGGAGAATATCAATACTAATAAGCTGCTTCACACATTGTATGAATGCAGTGACTGAATGATACAAACATGCACCTGACATACACTAGTAAGATAACAGGGATTGGCTACAGTTCTGTCAAATGTACAGTTGGTGATAAACTTAAATGTGCCGCCAATTGTCTGAAGATGTCATAAATGGATGGGGAACTGGCAACCTGTAGGCTAGATGCAGCACATTGAGCTTTTGCATCCATCCTGCAGCCTTCCCTCATCTGTTTCAGCCCCATGAAGCAATTAGCTGGGACCATTTTTCTTAACCCTAATTGCTGCATGGGAGTGATTTTTGTGGTGGTGAGAGCTAGCCATGGTGAGTTAACCTTCCCCATATGTTGCTACTCTTCTAAAGATTGTGAGGAGCCGGAATAGCAATTAGGCTTAAGAAAACAGATCCCATTAATGCAAATGGGAGCCTTTGTTCTAAACCTAATTGCCAGATTGCTAGCAGTGGGGGAGAGAAGGGAAGATTTGTAAATAACTTATGAAAGGGGGATGGATGAGCGTGGGGACGTGTGGGTTTCACCTTGTCTACCACTGACATGCAGCCCTCAACCTAGCTGGATCCCTAGTTATGCAATAAAACCCATCCCAGTGCTTTGAGATATGTTAGACTGAGAGATAGTCATTCAGTGAGTTTTCTCAAAGCATAGCACTGCAATGAGGGGGGAAAGACAGAACTGGGAACACTTTACTTTACCATCACGATGCTGGGCTAGGAGGGGAGGGCTTTTCCTCTCAGCACAGTCCTGTGATGGAGAGGTACCTGCCCCCTGCTCCTCTGCTGATTGGCAGAGAAAGGGTGACTGATTGTCCTCAGGAGAACAAAAGGTTGACCACCTTCCTGTAACCATTCTACTCCTCCAGTTAAACATCAGGTGAGAGTTGTTGAATATAACTGGTTGTCCATGGGCGGGAGACAACATGTTAAAAGGGTGTGTTCTTTTTTAATTCTCCTGCCTCCAATGTCTTCTCAAATCCAGATTAGATTTCCCGTAATGAAATGAATATAGTAGTTTTAGCCTAATCTTAGTGGACATCTGTTCACATGAAAAAAAGCCCAACAGCAGCAACAAAAACAGTAACCTTCCCTTTATATAGGCTGGAATTGAAGGTTGTTTTCACAAGTATAGCACTAAGCTTCAATAGACAGTTGCCATCTAGTTTTAATTGGGAAAGAATAGCTGTGAAAAGGTGGGAAAACTGTAACTCTTCCAGGTGTGGGTAATCTTGTAAAGCTTGGTGTCCTTTGCGCAAGCTGAAACTAATTGCTGGAATGTACACACAGTGCAGCAAAAGGTCAAGGGTTGCATGTGCATTATAGCGCAAGACATGTTCAAAAATACATGTGGTGTTCTGTGTAAAAATGGTCCTGTTCTTGGAAACAAATCATAGTAAGCATTAATTTCAGTTTAGGCTTCTGATCTCCTTGTGTCCTGGAAAGGGAGGCCAAAGCTTGGTGCAGCTCATTCTCTTCATGCTAAACCATGGTTTAGTGTGATGTCCAAATATGGCAATCACATGACTAGGGAACCCACACTGCGATTTAAAGCCAAATAAGACATGATAGTGATGAACAGGCATTTTCTATTCATGTGCCTGCCTGGTTCATATATTGGACAAAGGTTGAATATTACTCAATAGTTGTTATTTCAATAGTAAGAAAACTACTCATTGCAGAGTGACTTGTATATCTTCTATATGTGCTTCTGACTGTCATCCAAAATGACACCTCTTACCTGTTGTGATGTACAAACTGTTGCTACATTGTATTCACACACAGCTTTTCATGAGTGAAGATACATGGGTTTCCCTTTGTGTAAGACCCTGAAACCTCCATAGAGGCCCTGAAAGTCACTTAAACACCTTCTATATGTGCTCTTGGGTAATATGCAAAGACTCACATAGATCCCCTTACCATAACTATTAGTACTTTATCTGATGCTTGTTTAAGGCCAAATGTAGCAGAAAACAGCTATGTTTGGGAATGCCAGTGCCTAAGTGCCTTCCAATAAGTAATAATTCAGTTTTAATTTTCTCATCTATTATAGGTTTATTGCTGAAGAAGCTACCGCTGCTGGTTCAAAGTGCATTCTCTGTGACAGCCCTACCTGGATTATTGATCCTGTTGATGGCACCTGTAATTTTGTACATAGGTAAATACATAAACAGTGCTGCAAAAAAGCTATGTCTGCCTTTTCTCAAGCTCTCTGTCATTCTTTCTTTTTCTGTGTCCAACCTATTTGAGTAAGGCTTGCTTGCATATAAGGTTACTTTCTTGAGTCAACTTCTGCCCCAGTGCTTTGGGAGGAAGACTGATGAGTGCATATGCACAAACTCGATTCTAGTTTATGACTTGGGGCTTCCCAAGTGTTATTGTGAGGGGAGTACACACACTCAATTCCTTTGTTACATAGTTTGGCTACTATCAAGATAGGTACTTGCCCATGTAGTGCCTTGTGGAAGTCTATTACAGGTGGACAGAACTGAATTGCACCAAAACACAAGTGCAGGGACAAGTACCAAAAGGGTGTAGTTACTAAGTAGCACAAGAATTTGAAGCTACCATTGCTGTACCACAAACAATCAACAACTGTAGTGGTTGGCACCTTAGTTCAGCATACCAGTTACCTATAAAAACCTTATTCTAAAAGAGTCCCTTATCATCAGAGGCTCTGGCTGAAATCCAGAGAACTATTGGCTAGTACAATGTACCTAAGGACAATAGCTTTTAACAATACGCTTTCCTTCTCCCTGCCATTAGCATGGCAAACTGGTTTTGAAACTCAGTGGAGAGTTCAAAAGAGGGAGGGACGGTTGTAGTTGAATCAGTCGTCAGGTTCTGATCAATTGCACAGCATCCTAAGATTTGAAGAAGGGAAAGGGATTTTCTGAGAATCAAAGTCAAGTCAGCTATTTCTGCTTCAGCTACAGGGGAAAGGTCACTTCTAAACTGATCCACCAGATCAGGATGCCCCTAATTCTTTAACCATTGGGCTTGTTTTTAAAAGGTAAAAAGTAAAAATGTGCAATTCCTTTAGATACAAAGAAATTAAGACTCTCCGATTTCTTAGCTGAGAACCAACACAATCGCATTTCTGACAGGTAAAGTTGTTGAAATTAACTGTTTAGAGAGCATACTAACAGAGGCAACTGGTTTTATTTACACAGGTTTCCGACTGTGGCCGTCAGCATTGGATTTGCTGTTAATCAAGAGGTATAGGATAAAGCTTTATCTGCTGCTATCATGATTAAGTGAAAGATTAATATCTAACAAACTTAGTGAGAAATCTTGTGAGCTTCATAAGAAATAACAAAGTTCACAGAAAGCCATTTAGGTTACTGTATTTATCTTGAAGTGTTAATCTGTTATAACCTTGGTTTGAATACACCAATCTGCATAATCCTGAAACCAATCCTTTGGTGTTGTGAGTAGTCTTATTATGACCTACCATAAATGAATGGATTCTGGAATCATTCTTTGGGTAAAAGAGTATGTATAAGTCGCCCTGCCTTTATGTCTGGCAGAATGTAATGGTAGCTAATCCCAGTTTCAGGGACCTGTTTTTATAAGTAGTCTTGCATGTTTTAATTCTATCAATGTTTAATTGTTTTTTAATGATGGCTTTTTCTATGTTTTTCTTATTTTTAATTTGTAAGCCACCTTGAGTCCCTGTCAGAGAAAAATGTGGAGTATGTATGTATGTATGTATGTATGTCTCTTTTCTTAAATAAGGTCCATTAAAATCAACATGACTTGTTTCCAAGTAAATGCATTTAGGAGTGTCATACTTAAGGGAAAGGTCAGATCAAGCCATGCTATTTGTTTCCTGAGTGACTGCGCAAGCAGCTTCCACCTCATCAATCAAGTGGCAGACTTACCAGTTGTTGTTTTTTTTTCCTATTGCCATCTACCTACCTGTGCTGCAACATAATTTTTCATTCTTGTCTTGACTGTTAGAAAACCTGTATTGGCAGGCTTTATAAGTCTGCCCTTGATACTATTCCTTCAAGGGCAGAGTAGCTGACTTTGCATTACACAGATACAATGGTAATGCAATGCAGTTTTTCTTCATGCAGAACCCACTAGAACAGAAAAGGACTACGCTGTAGGGGAAACAACAAATGTTGTCTGTTGGCTGGCACACACCCTTGTTGCTAGATGGCAGGTGGAAAGGACAAAGCTGTTCCATAGAATAATATTTGGCAAAGACATGTTGGGTAGGGATAATAGTCTTGCATTTAGTTCTTATCACTACTCCTGTACTGTATATTCAACACCAGATATTAGTAACTCTTAGGATACAACTTCACATGCCTGTGTCAGACTTACTTATTCAAAGCAACTGTAAAATAAGGTATGGGGGTGATGTCAAGTGGTAAAGCAGAGATGGGATACTGGACCTTTTATCTATGGATTTTGTGCTGTAGGTTACTGTACTTGAAGCCTCTGTCCTGCTACTCCAGGCAGCACCACACAACAGGCTTAGCAAACAAGAGTTTTTGTGCCAGCACTATATCTGGATAGTAACTGGTGCTTAACTTGTAAACTAAGCAGTTGTGTGATACGTTTGATGTGTTGAGCTCTTGCTCATTGTGTCATCACTGTGCAGAAAAGATTTCCAGGGGCTTTCTGAACATGTAAGAATTAGCCCTAAAATGTCTGTGGAGATGGATTAACTAATTTCTTGTTGAAATTTTATGTACCTTGTGAAGTTGAAAGTCTGGCATGCTCAAAACCATTTCTTCTTTATTATCAGTAGCATAAACTGCCATTTATATGCATTTTATATAGTGATAATCTGTTTATATTGCAATATATATAATACAAATTGCATTCACAATCTTTTTCCTTTCCTGAAATGCTAAAGCTTGAATTTGGTGTAATTTATCACTGCACGGAAGAGCGATTATACACTGGTAGAAGAGGTCAAGGGGCATTTTGTAATGACAAAAGGCTTCAGGTATCAAAAGTGACAGGTTGGTTTAAGCACTATAAAAGAAATATTTTGAATATTGTATTATTAGAGAGTCGTTACCATATGTAGGTAGACTTACAGAGCAATCTTCTGCATATTTACTCAGAAGTAAGATCCACTCTGTTTAGTGGAGCTTACTTCCAGGTAAGTGCACATAAGATTGCACCCTTGATGTATCTTCTGCATAACTGAATGTATTTTACATTTATTTAAGTAGTCCTTCTTTTCTATACCATACTTTAATTATTGAGCTTAATAGTTTAAAAGAGGCTTTTATAAATCACTGTAAATTTGGCCACAATAGAACTGGTGACCCTTGCTTAATCTTATGATTAGGCAGCTCTTGAGTGACAGGTGAGTGGACATAGTTCATATCTTATGAATGGTGCTGGCATGAATCTCTATACAATTATGTAAAACTACCTTTAAAAATGTATTCTAAATATCACAGCCACTGCAGTGAAAGTATTTTAAGTGTACCCCATTTCATGTTGAGGCTGCAATAATGAAGCAGCCTACTTAGGGTGGATTAGCACTGTCAGCCTGCAGAGTTAGTGGAATTCTAGATTATTTATTACCTATTTCTTGTTGGAAAATATGTTGACTGATTTCTATCAGTGGAAGTAGAGAGACTTTTTATTGTGATTAAGGAAGACTAGCAGACTTCTCAATGGAAAATTAAAAAAAAATTAACGTAGGATGTGAAGTATGTATGTATACACTAAAGAAAAGTTGTCCAAAAGCTTGAAATTCAGTTAATTGGTCCTAAAATACTAGGACTTGGGATAGGCTTCTAATGTGTGCAGGCTATGCAATCACTTTAGAGGCTTTTTCAAAATAATATGTTAGTTCATGGTGGTAGTATTAATTCTGAATTTTGCACGTATGAATTTTGCAAATATCATGTGATAGGAATGATATATTCTACTGTAAGATTTAAATGTACTTTGTGATAGGCTTAGAGCTGATGGGCTGTAGAATTATTTTGACTGAATATTATTGCAGAATCTGCTGTGATTCTAAGAGTATAAGACTTTGCTTCCAAATAAACGTATTTAGCTAAAAGTAATAAGCAGATTTGTTTTCCATAATTTCAAGACACAGAATTTTGTTGAAAGCTTTTGGAAATAAGCAAGACTCTCAAAAAAGAACAGAAATATATGAACATGCGAAGCGATCTTATTGTAAAATATCCAAAGATCCTTCACAGTAGAAATTGGACAGTACCTACTTTGAAAAGCTGTTGCAATAATACAAAATAACCTTTTGTCTTGCAGATATCTCAAAGGCCTTGATTTTAACAGAAATCGGCCCAAAACGAGATCCTGACACTTTGAAACTATTTCTCAGCAACATGGAGCGATTGCTTAAGGCCCAAGCTCATGGGTAAGATCTTCTTTAAAAAGTAAATAAATAATAAACCTTTGTAAAGAAAAGAACCAGCACCTTCATTAACATTTCAGTTACTGAGGCCATCCATTTAAATTTAGTGAACCTAAACTTTTGCAGGCATTCTGGTGCACTTACAGAACTCCCTCTGAACCAACTTCCCCATTCACTGCCAGTGGCGGAGCTTCATGCTCTGGCCCCGGGGGGACGGAGAGCGGGCGGGGGCGGGGCTGGCGCGCATCCTGGGGGCGGGGTGCGCTGCCCGCAGGGACCTGGCGCACATCGCCTGTGGGCGCGGGGCGCTCCCTCTGCACTCCTCTTCCTCTGCCAGTGTTCACTGCACCATCAATATAACTTTTCAGTGTTAGTCAGTCAGCACCCCTCCTCTTTCTTTTTGCTTGGGAGTTATGAAGACGGGGCAGCCTTGTATTGCATTGTCAAGTGAATAGGACAAACAGACATTGCTTGCTGGATATGATAACATTGTAAAGAAAGGGGGAGATGTTGAGACAAACAACTGGAAACATATGACTGGCTTTTCTTAATATAATATTTTAACTTGTGGTGAATATGCCAGTTTGTCTGTGCAACAAATCGTTGGTTAAAATTGGTGACTAGTTTTTCTAACCTTGACTCATGAGTACATCCTCATGGGTTGGCTTTATCAATGGTTTTCGTTCTTTTCACAAGTCTTTTTGCTCCCACCTGTGATTTATTGTAGGGTTCGTGTCATTGGAAGTTCCACGTTGGCGCTCTGTCTTCTAGCATCTGGTGCTGCAGATGCATATTACCAGTTTGGCTTGCACTGTTGGGACTTGGCGGCAGCTACAGTTATTATCAGAGAGGCAGGTGGTGTTGTGATGGATACTTCAGGTAAGCAAAAAATATTATTTTTGTAACACATGTTTATAATGCACCTTTATTTATAAAAATATTCATATCACCACATCGTAAAAAAGCTGTTTACAACTATCTATCTATCTATCTACACATAACATTTACATACAGGTACCATCAACTAATTACCGTATTTTTCCATGTATAAGACGATATTCCCCCCCCCCAAAAAAAATTTAAGTTTAAAATTGGGGGTTGTCTTATACACTGAATGTTGCAATTAAATATATAAATAAATACATGCCACCATCCATATTATTTCCCTCCCCCCCCCCGCCTCACCTCACTAATGGCCTCACGACAAACCCTGTTCTGGTACTCCCCCCCAGCAGCCCCCACTCCAGACTTTGTCCTTTCTACTTGGTTCCCTCAGCTGCCCCCTGGCTACCCAGACCCCCCATTCCCCAAGCGCGCTCACTCAGGCAGCTCTGGAAGTCGCAGCTCCTCGATCAGCATTCGCATCTGCCGGCGCTTGTGGAGTAAATACGGTACATACTGTAAATACTGAGACAAAAGTGCAACACACAGTCGCGGGAGAGCTGGAGCCGCAGCTACAATGGAGTTACACTGAGCTGACAGGAGCAGCTGCCATTACACAGCTTGCCTCACTCTTCGATGTTTCAATATACGGTACTAAATATACCGGTGTTTTGAATATTTAATAAAATATCAAAGTTGTTCGGTTTGGTGTTTAAAATATTTCTTTCTTAATTTTGGGCTCAAAAAATAGGGGGCGTCTTATACATGGGGGCGTCTTATACATGGAAAAATACGGTAATATGGAAAGACTGCCTGCATAAGTCTGGTGACATAGAAAAGTTTTCAGGAGGTGTTAAAAGGCTGAAACTGAAGGTGCCTGCTCAATGTCTATTGGCAGAGCATTCCACCCTTACTGGGCAGAAAACGTCTCAGTTTTGTTGTTGTTGTCAGATGAATCCCACCAACTTGACAACCAGCTATGCTATTGCAGATGCTTTCAGTGATCAAGTTCAGATATAAGAGTTTAGGCATTCCTTAAGGTATCCTGGACCTAAGATGTTCATTTACAATGAATGCAAGGACCTTGAACCTGGCTCAGTTACAGATGGGCAGCTAATGCATATGTTTTAACAATGATGTCATATGCTATCAGCCATGTGTCCCAGTCAGCAGCGTAGCTGCTGCATTCTACACCAGCTGGAGGTTTACAGCAGACCCAAGGGCTGTGTCACATAGAGCACATTATAGTAATCTAACCTCAAGGTTACCAGCACATGGACTTCTGCGGTCAGGCTATCCCAGACCAAACAGCTGGTAAAACTCAGAGGACACTTGGGCATCTAGTGACAAAAATGTATCCAGGAGTACCCACAAGCTGGGCACATGTTCCTTCAGAGAAAGTGCAACCCTATCTAGAACAGGCAACTTACTTATCTCCCAATGGTTGCCCCATGCTATGATAGAGGGAAGGTGGGTGCGTTCCAGCTAAGCGTTGCTCCTTAATGTCTTCCCGTGAAATGGAGGTCTTGCATCTGATGAATTGTACTATATGGGAAATGGTTTGAGTCACAGAGGGGACAGAGTCTCGCATTACTTTTGAACCTCAAGTGCTTTGTTTGACTGATCAAATCCCTCTCCTTTCGTAGGTGGACCTCTAGATCTAATGTCATGCCGAGTGGTCGCAGCAGGTACCCAGGAAATGGCTGCATTCATAGCTCAGGAAATTCAGACTATTCACTATAGGCGAGATGATGAGAATTGACCGGACTTACATATTCCTGAAAACAAGGAAACTTGTCCTTTTGGAACTACATTGCTTCCTTCAGGATGGCTTGCTTATAGGATAAATGGTTTAATTGTATGTTTCTTAATACAGTCTATATAGCAAAGGTATTATGAAAAAAAATTACTTGCATTATAGGAAGGTGAAGGGAAATTTTTAATTTTTGTAAGCTTCTTGGCCCCCTTTTAATGAGAATTTATTTCAGCTATGCTTTTTAAAAAAAAAAAAAATCACAGGTATCCCAGATTGAGTTCACTTCTTGCCTCTTTTAGGCTGAAGCAGAGGGGAAGCGGGGTTTGTACCACATTCAAATATAAATAAAACTTTATTTTTGCAGATCTCAGGTAAATTAGTCTTTCTGCAGCAAAGGGAAAATTGTTTCGAATTGTGTGCCTAAAGTACTCACACTCAACAGTGCTTGAGAATTCTAAACTTAAAAGTACATGTATAGAACAAACCTTAGATAGTTACACTTCTATTTACTTAAAAAAAACAACTACACTCATTTATGTAGCACAGTCAAAAGTGGCAATGGCACATATCCTTGAACGGTGTATTATATTTATGTGGGTAACTTAAATAGTAGATATTGGTGCTGATCAGAAGATGAAAAGCTGTTTTTCCAACATTTGAAAATCTTCAGCTTCAATCAAGCAGCACAACATAAATCACAGCAGGGTGTTGTTTTTTTCATGACCTAGAAAATTCAATACAACATCACATAAGGATGTGATGGTTTTAACCTAGGTAATAGCACTGAGCACAGAACTAGCTTGGCAGCCATACAAACACATTGGTCACTGCTACACTTGAGTCATTACTGTGGGGATGAGGAATCTTATTCAGGTTAGAACATAAGAAGAGTCCTACTAGATCGTGCCAAAGGCCCATAAAGTCCAGAATCCTAGAGTGGCCAGCCAGATGTCTATATGGGAAGATCAGGCCTCACCTTGTCCTCCATGGGTCCTCCAGCCTTAGAATGCAATGAGCCCTGAACTCTAGAGCCTTCTCTCCCTTGGCTCAAAGACAGTTTGGACCCCTCTAATGAAGAGAGGGGGAGAGCCCAGTGGCAACCCCACCTTTGGCTCCCCCAGGACAGAGGGGGCTTGCTTCGCCACCACCAGAGCTGGGGGTGAGCAAGAATGCCAGGAGGGGAGGCAGGCAAGCTGAGTGGGCAGATCTCTGGGGCCCAACCTGGACAGGTGCGAAGGAAAGGGAACACCAAGCACTCTGCAATATTTAAGAGACTTGTTTGAAAAACCTTCATAGGATGGTAACCTTTCAGGGATTCTTTAGCTGTGGTTCCCGCACTGCAGAGCTAGATCACCCTTGGGGGAGCCTTCCAGCACTGCAATTCTGTGATTCTATGTAGCTCATAAGCAGAACATGAGTTCAACGGTGCTCTTCTGACTCCCATCAAGTGGAATTCAGAGGCATGCTGCCTTCGATAGTGGATTTTATAGAACACTAGCAAAGAAAGTCTCTTCCACTGGGTGCTAATACTTGAAAAGGGCTCTGAAGGGAGATATATTCAAAGGACTGAAGCAAAGCATTTTAACCAATTATTGAAAATAGCATCAGAATCTTCTGTCTTGGCCGTGTTTAGTCAGTTGCTAAGAGAACCATGGAACTGAGTGCTTGAGCAGGAAAGGGTCATGACTTAGGCTTAGTTCTCACAAATAGCAGATAATGTGGTAAACCTCTTCCTGGACTCTACCATTTGCAGGTGTGGGCTCACATGACTGACTGAATGCTTCTCTGTACCAAAAAACACCAACCAACCAAAATTTAGCATGTCAGAGAAATGATCCTAAGTTAGCCATACAAGTTCCCTAAATGTAGCAGTTCTGTTTCTTTATTTTTGTATGGCAGAGCATTCAGTCATATAAATCAATGCATGCTGTTTCAACTACAGTCCACAAAATATTTATTTCCTTATCTGTCCTTTGTGGGAGCTAGACCTTAGAAATGATGTGAATCTACGGTTATCCACAGTAACTGTGTGGATAATTGCTGTAATTTCTGCAGCTACTGAAAGTCAGCATCATGACCAAAACCCAGATACTAGAACATTACCCCTGTAGTAGTCTGTGTCGTGTTAAGATCCTCTACACCTAAACACACTGGAAATAACTGCCATTAAAACTAATGATACTTTTAAGCACAAATACTCAGGATTGGGATTGTGAGACTGAGCCAGTTGGTCCCAATATGAAAATCTGGGACTAGGAATTTTCTTTTGTTTCATAGAAATACAACCCTGGCTTCATAAACAGACATCCTACTGTCTAAGAGGAGTTTACTATTCTATTTAGCTATATGTGTGTGCAAGAAAAAAGATTGTAAAGACCCAAAGAATATTAATAAGATGGTGATGTATGCTGCTCTGAGCACAACCCACTCTGTGAATGGAAAAAGTGACTTGCAAATATTATAAATAAATGTTCTGAATGGAAGGGTCTGCAAAATCACAAGACATTGCTACATGTTAGCCTTGCTTCTGTTGCATTTTTTGTATGTGTTTTTAGAGCTTCTTTGCTGGAGCACTGTATGGTGTAAGAAGCAAAGCAGCCACAGAAATAATCCTCTAATTTGGTGCATCTGGTTCACCAAAATACTGTATAGCCATATAATGGAAATATTGTCACACATTGTTAATTGCATTGCAAAAATATTCTGGTGCCTGTGAGTTGTTTGCTCTGTTCCAGTCTGAACATTAATGGCAATGAATGTGTTATCTGTGTGAAATGTCTCATTTCCCCAGGTATAAAGTATTGTGATTTGAGTGTTTGGAAATTGTGGTGTCTCCAACAGAAGTGAAAACTTGAAGAAAGACATGAAGAATGTGCACAATAAATGAACAGTTTTTGTGTAATTGAACTTGTATGCAGGAAAGCCCTAAAAATGCAGAAACATTGTGGATCACCTTTGTGTCTCTCTCAAGCTTTTAATTTCAGCATAGTTTTTGTGTGTGTTTTGGCAAAGCGAAGGTAGTGGGAAAACAAACTCTAAACCCAACACTAGTGCCAACACTAAACTCATGCTGTGCTTGAATGCTTGTCCTAATAGCTTATTTTATGGCTTAAAGGACTGCCAACTCCTTTGCTGATTTTCTGTGGCTTTACCAGCTAAATGGCAGGGTGGGGGGAATTGGCAAGTTATAGCTTTTTGGACGCGGGTGGCGCCGTGGGATGTGGGTGGCACTGTGCGTTAAACCACGGAGCCTAGGGCTTGCTGATCAGAAGGTTGGCAGTTTGAATCCCCACGACAGGGTGAGCTCCCTTTGCTCAGTCCCTGCTCCTGTCAATCTAGCAGTTCAAAAGCACATCAAAGTGCAAGTAGATAAATAGGTACCGCTGCAGCGGGAAGGTAAACGGCATATGAGTGCTGCAACCCCAGAGTCATCCGCGACTGGATCTAACGGTCAGGGGTCCCTTTACCTTTACCTAAATCCCATTTGAATACAGTAAAACATATTAAACAAGCACAGGTTGTCCTACTCATGCATTTTTTCATTTCCTTCATTTCCGTTTTTATAGCAGGCATAGTTGCTAGTTGGTGCCATGTCACTTGAGGGGGAGGGTTGTCAATTGCCCCCCCCCCCCGCCATGATTCAGAATGTCTATTGCTCTTCTCCCTAGAATGATTTTGATAGCAACTTGGAGAGAGGGTTGGTTCATGAGAATCATGGCACAAGAGAAAAAAAGAACCAAAGAACAATGGAATTTGGACTTGGTACATTCATTTTTAATATATATACAGTATTTAACTCCCCCATCCCATCCTTTGAAAAAATAGTGATTGAAGCTGAGTCTAACAAGTCTTGGTATTATGTTGGTTATTTTTTTGTATACACATTACTATTTTCAACTGAAAAAATAGCAGAAGGAAACTGGCCATCCTGACAACCAAAACGTTAAAAAATAGCAACTCTGCTATTTTTGGGTAGCACAAGTATTTTGTTTTCAGGTGCGACACAATGAGGAGTTTTGTGTGTGACGTTATTCCAACATAAAGAACTTGGGAGCGCATGGGTTTCCTTTAAATGGCTTAGTTTACAATGTTTAGATATAAAAATTATGAATCTGTCTATACTGTGTGATTCTTATAGTAATTGTGCACCATTAACTGTTCTCTACTAAACCTATTCATATCTGTGAAATACTGCTGTAAAATCTGGTAACCCAGACATTTCTACCTCTGTATGGGGCTATGAGGAATAATTAATGTGTTGCAGCAGAATCCTGTAAACCCTACTATTGAATTAAATAATATTATCCAGAATTATTAGGAGTATGAATGTATGTTGTCAAACCGTATTTTTCGCCCTATAGGACGCACTTTTTCCCCTCCAAAAATGAAGGGGAAATCTGGGTGCGTCCTATGGGGCGAATGCAGGCTTTCGCTGAAGCTTGGAGAGCGAGAAGGGTCGGTGCGCACAGGCTTCAGGAAGACATCCGCAGCCTAGGCAGACTGTCTAGGCTGTGGATAGCAGCCTGCTTCCCGGAGCGTCGGGCGCCCTGAAAGCAGAGCGCCCGGCGCTTCGGGAACACATCCGCAGCCTAGGCAGCCCTGCGGGAGGTCCCGCAGGGATGTCTAGGCTGCGGATAGTGTCTCGCGCCGGGCAGACATTGGCCAGCCCCACAAGCTCGGGGGACAGCAGGGAGGCGCAGCGCCGCCATCCCGCTGTTCCTCAACCTGGTTCGGTTTCCCCGACCTGCTTTGGGGGGGGGAAATAAAGGAAAAATTTGTTTCCTTTATTTCCCCCCAAAAAACTAGGTGCGTCCTATGGGACGGAGCGTCCTATGGGACAAAAAATACGGTACATTGTGCATGAAACTGGTTGGTCGAGGAAGTGCTGATTCATATAATGTACAGTGAACTCACAGAAGTCCTTGCTGCAAGATGTAGTGTTATCTGTTAGCTTAAAGATGACTAACAGAGCATTGGACAGATTCCAGGAGGGGTAACTGTTGAAAGCTACTAGCGGTTTTTCTTCAAATATATGTAAAATCTGAAATGAGTAACTTGTTTGCAGGTGTTAAGTATAACCAAAAGCTTAAGAGTACAACCCGGAACCCAGTGGTGTTTACTAGTATTACTTGCTTTTAGTAGAGCTGTTGTCTACGTCATGCTCATTTATGATCAGCCCCTTTCAAATAGTTAATAGGACTCTCATTTGTGAAGCACTGTGCAAAATTGCAGCCTTAGAATGCAAGCCAAAGCCTTTCATGTGCAGGGGCCTTTGTTCTCTTTGTAAAAGTGAAATAAATAGCCTAGAGACATGCAGGGGCTCCCTTTCTGAAATGTTTCCTCAAAAAAGAAAGCTAGGAATCCTTCAGCCATGAAATGCATACAGATGTGGATCACAGCCATAGAGTGGCTATAGACTTTGTATGAGTTTAAGCAGTGAGGCCACTGAAGTCTACTTGTCATATTTTAAGTGTTCAGTCATAAGGGGGAAACAAGTTATTTGTGTTTACACCAGATGCCAGCAGAACATAGCATTGATTGGCTTAGAACTAGTCACATCACTAATCCTCACCCTGAAACAGTATTTGTGGGTGTTTTTTTAAATCATTTCTGCTTTTTAAAAAGAAGAGGAATGTACATTTAATTGAGTCAAACAATATATTCTTAGTGTGTTTGTTTAAGTGAGCAGAATGGAAGAGGGTCAAGAATACTGAGCTGGCATTAAATTTGTTGGCCATTCTATTTACTAAATGTATTTGTGTGGTGATGGTAGTGGGAAAGTCGGGTTTGAGATGCAAGACGAAAGGTCACATCAAGTCATGACTTTGTTTTTACCACCAATATGTTTAAAGAGGGATTTTTCAAATTACAAATAAATACAAGGGTGCTTGTCATTGCTTAAATATTTCAAAATGAAGTCAAATTGACATTATTGTTATTATTAAATTTTAATACATTTCAGGTTGGTATTATTGCACACTTCTGTATGTTTGGACAGGTTTTCTAGCGAACTTGTGCAAACAGTCCTCTAGGAGTTCTGTTAATGTATTCTACAAATAAAAGATGAATACATTTGAAGGTGAAATTATGATATTTTACTGTCTATTACTTCTGTTTTCCAATGTATTCGCATCATGTTACATAGCACTTGGGAGTAGGGTGAAAGATTCAGTTAATTTAACTTTACTTAACCTGTGATAACTGGTCAAATTAAAATTTAGTTTGCTGGGCCAAAGGGAAAGTTAATAGTTAAATTAATATCCAGTGTTTCCACTGAAAGTTTTTGTGAGTCTACTGCTCATGCAACTTTTATTAAATGATTTATTTAGCACTTGTGTTCATTTTATTCAAGTGAAAATTACTTTTTGGTGCATTCAGGAAAGGGTGATTAAAAATGGTCATGCTCATAGCAGTGATTTCATTATAGTCACTGTAGTGTTGCTATCTGCTTACTAACAAGATATTGTGCCTCTGGTACTGCTTTGCTCGTCCTTTTTGAGGCAGCAATCCTAACCCCATTTCCCTGGGAGCAACCCACTTTGAATCCTGTGGGGCTTACTTTTGAGTAGACATTGTTAGGATTGTGGTGTGATTTAACCAGTTAGGAGTCTTCATAAAATTAGTTATTGCTAAGGTCTATAACTTTATGAAAGGAAAGATGTGTTACAGTGTATGTGTCTGAACCCACATGCGTGTCCACCACTTAAATGTATTCATACACACACTATCAAGAAGTTTAGGATCTTTTGCTGGAGTTACGACGTGTGTTCGTTATGAAGATGTGTTTACCCTTAACCGTATGCCCACAAGAAGTTCCCACACAAATAAATATTGGTATTACATGAAATGAAAGTGACAGAATTACCATATTTTTTGCTCTATAAGACTCACTTTTTCCCTCCTAAAAAGTAAGGGGAAATGTGTGTGCATCTTATGGAGTGAATGCAGGCTGCACAGCTATTCCAGAAGCCAGAACAGCAAGAGGGATTGCTGCTTTCACTGTGCAGTGATCGCTCTTGCTGTTCTGGCTTCTGGGATTCAGAATATTTTTTTTCTTGTTTTCCTCCTCCAAAAACTAGGTGTGTCTTGTGGTCTGGTGCGTCTTATAGAGCAAAAAATACGGTATATAAATGCTGCTTCAGACAGCAAAACTGCAAGTTGAACAGGCAGCAAAATGGTACAGTACACATATGCCTTGATCTAAAGAGTGAAAGAATCTAAAACTATTCTCAAAAGCCTACAGAAAACAAGAGTGCCAATTTTGCCACACAACACACATTAATAGCAAGACAAGAAATGGAGGGAAAGGGTATACCTGTCCTTTAAGTGAAGCATGTCTTGGTTCCTTGAAAATGTTGAGTAAGATCCTTTTTGGAACTTGGAGAGCTAACGAACTGTTGGAAATATTGGGCTTTTGTATTAATTTTAGCCAATATGTTGTAATGGAGAAGAGAGGGAGGCTTTGAGATGAGTAAATTACTATAATTTCATTATTTTTATTGTTCTGTTGTCTCTTCTCTTCCTAGAATTTCCTGCCTACTTGAAATTTGAAAGAATATAATCCTAGTGAGCAATGACTAAACAGATTATCCTTGTTTGTTTCCTGTCTTAAAGTTACCTTTCTTTTATCTTGGTGGCAACCATACTTTCGCAGGAGCTGTTGATTAGATTTATTGGTCACTAGATTAATGTGCTGATATTTACACAAGGTGTTAGGAGCTCAGGATGTCTCCTCCACACATTTGCAATAAGACTGGCACCACAGTCGAGAGAGTTCATAATGAGGATCTCTTTTTCAGTGAACTCAGTGAGTGCAATCCTACCCATGTCTACACAAAAGCAATTGTGTCCACCCCCAGGTAAATGAGGTAATGCTCTGTTGCCTGAACTTCAGGCCTTGAA